CGTGCGAAACGGTGCCGTGTTGTTTGAAGACCGGTGGCGTCGCTGCGTTTCCATAGGAGCTAAGCCTTTTTCTTTCTTTACTTTTTCCTCGGGTAAGTTCGCTCTTTGCAAATTTCACAAAAAAAATGCACCATCTGTGGGCAACGCTGCACAAAGTCGTAGCGCGATAGGTTAAGAAGGCGAATTTTGCGGTCGGTTTAAAGAGCCTGGCGTCTCCTTGAATCACCCAGTAGTTTTGTTAATAATGCAGAAATGTAAGTAATTTCTCTAAAAGTAGCAAAATTGCGCGCCAATAGGCACGCAACCGTCCCCGGAAAAGACCAGCTTCCTCTTGGTGGGTGGCTGCGACCTCGAACGAGCCCAGGTCTACCTCACAATGACCGGTCAGCCCATTTCTTACCCGGCAGAGCGATGGGGGAGGATCCTCGGCGTTCCACTAAGCGAGACCGGCAGACCGAAGGAATGGATTCGGCAACTTAAGCCAGCGTGGCATCAACAAATCCACCTCATTCGCCGTATAGGCAACCGCTTTGGCGGTGCCGGCGCTCGGACCATCAAGGCGTTGTGTCTGGCCATCCTCACCTCCAGAGCGAAATACGGAGCGGCGTGTTTCACGCTGAACGGGACTCATTTTAAACAGTTGGAAGTTCTCCACCTCAAATGTTTGCGAGCTACAACCGGTTTGCCAAGGCACACCAGGGTTCAGGAGCTGTACCGGTACTCTGGCCTCCCGCCCCTCCGAGCCCTCATCGAAGCGCGTAACGAGAGCCACGAGCTACGTCGGTTGAATACGGAAGCTGGAAGATGATTGCTCGCCCTCACCCCCTTCCCACCGCCTTCAGATGCACCTCAACTGCCATGACTTCTCAAACCGTGGCGTGACGGCCTCCTGAAACTGCCCAAGCCTCTTTCGAGGAAATACGCAACTGCAGACCACGAGGCAGAACGCAAAGCGACGGCCTCCCGTACCGACTGGACCAAAAACATAGTGTTTACTGACGCAGAATGGGATGCCACTACTCAAAGGGGCAAGCTGGCAGTGATCTCGCCACTAGCGAGAGCAGATGTTTACATCAATACTACGACCACCAATCCAGCTCAGGCCAACTTGAACTGTCTGCGATACTGTGTGTGGCCCACAAGGTGCACGAAGAGGCACGTCAAGGACTGCGCCAGGCGGGAGAACGTGTGGTTGTTTACACGGACAGCAGAGGGGCGATTAGGCGCCTTGGCAACAGCCCCAGGATGGGCACACTTGCCTGTGACATCAAGAGCACGAGCTCAATGATCCTCAGACGCTATGGCGTGGAGGTAAGGGTGGACTGGGTACCAGGACACGCGGGCAGCGTCGGCAACGAAGCTGCACACGCGTTGGCGAGCGAGGAGGAGGACAACCGCTCCATCCCGGCGCTCCGGGCCCTTCCTACACCCGACGACCCCTATCCGACCGCCCGCATTGGTGCAGCCAGGCAGAAATGTAGACGTACCCTTAGGGAGCAAGTTCCGGCAAACGATAACCCGCTGCCGCCAGGCTTGCCACATGGAGCTCAGCATCTAATCCACAAGGCCCGCACAGGGGCCGCGCTAACCGAGGACATACTGGCCAAATGGCGGACTCACCAAAAAGACCGACATCGAACCGTCGCTGCCTGTGCAGACTCGGACAAAGAGGTTGCGCCTGCTGTATCGTGTTGGTCGTGTACAATGGGAGCCAGGCCAACCGTCGTGATGCGGGACTGTCCTGGCTACCAGAGCCTCCGGCAGCAGCACCTCCCGCAACACGTCCGGACTTTCCTCGACTGGACCACTCCGGGCAACGACGGCCGGGCCCCCGACACACTGCTTTCTCTGTGGAGGTTTGCGTCTGCTGCGGGCATCGACCGTCGTATGGGATCTCCCCCTCCCTCCCCCCTTTAGGCCTAAGAGACAGCCCTTTCTAAATAGAGTATTTTCGTTCATTCCTTTAAAAAAAGTTCATCTTTACTTTCTTTTCAACTCTTCTTAACTCCTTGCAGTAATTGGAACAAAGTTGTGTTGGCAAAATGTTAAATGACCTCCAATTGAGAAAAGCGACCGTTGTACAGACCTAGAGAATCTCTCGGGTGTTGACGTCAAGTGACGAAGCCCCCATGATGAAGACAAGCTCAATTGGAGTGAAGGTTTGTTGTCGCTATTCTCCATTGGAAGTCATGTGCTACTCAACATTTGGCCATCGCAAGTTTGTTCAAGTTACTGCATGGAGTTAAGGAGAGTTTATAAGAAAGAAAAGGTCGAGCTTTCTAAATATTGACGTGCAATTTTGCTACTTTTAGAGAAAGGACTTACATTTCCGCATTAAAGGGGGGACACTACCCAGAAGAAAAAAAAATTGTGCAAAAAACAATGATTTTGAAAAATGACATATTTACATCCACCAACATCTAGAGAGTATTCGCAGAAATTTTCATTTGTTTACACTGCACGGTTAATTTTTTATATATTCTGTCCACCGAAGCTAATGAAGAGGTAGGGTTTGGAGCACTTTGAGCACATTTTTCTCCGTTCCACTTTTGGGTATAAATTCCATTTTAGTCAATCTATCGTTTGATAATGGCAATACAGAGAAGGCTCGTTCTTCACTTTTCCTTACTGAAATTTAATGAGGAGTGCGGCTAGGGGATTTTTTGTCACTTTACGGATGTCTTTTATAAAAAATGTTGACATTTTGTCAGACACAAAAGGCCAAAAAGTTGACCAATTTTGCGGAAGGAAAAATTGATAGAAATAAATTACTATTTACAAAAAACTTTCAGTAGCCGCACGTCCTAGGCATTCTGCTACATATCTAGCGAATAAAGATTTTGAATATTGCGATAGTTTTCCGAGGATAGATTAACTGAACAATGTATGCGTGTTGCTGATACGAGCTTCCCTACTTTCCTTGCCACTTAACCGACAGACCTGAAATTTTGTTATGCGCCCTCTTGCATGACCACCAGGGTACTCTTAAAATTTCATTAATTTTAAGCAAAGAGTTCGAAAGTTCACCCTCCCAGGAGGTAATAACAAAACTAGAATAACTGCTAAGCAATTTTTTTTTTTTTTTAATGCGAAAGCATTAACTATTTTTGAAACGGAGTTGGTGGCATCGGTAACCGCAAAAAAACGCGAAAGAAATGTCTATTCCCCCATTGGTTGAGAAAAACGGCTCCTAGATAGCCATTGGCGGTCGCTTCACTAAAGCGCGTGCTTGGCCGCTGGCTGGATCCTGGACAGTAGCAAAACGTGACCGTCCACTCCACCGCACACAAACTAAGGGAGAACAACCTTCGTGCTTTCGCATTTGCAGCTCAGAAAAAGGGCTTAGGTGTCCTCGGAAGTTGTTTTTTTATATATTCGTAAGCTGCGTTTCATGACGCGCATTTTGGTATATTTTACAACGTTTTGCATAAAGTTTGTTGGTAAATAATCTTTGAATCTGTCTCAAAAACGTTTTTTCACGTGTTTCGTGTTTTTGTTTTTAGAGCGCAGCTCTTAGGCGGCCGTTTCCAGCTTGAGCGGCGTCGCCGTCGGCGTTGGCGTAACCGCGCGGTGCATTATGGGTAGATTTCCCCGCTAAATCTAGTGGAAAAATTTCCCCCGCTAAATTTAGCGGAAAAATTTCCCCGCTAAATCTAGCGGAAAAATTTCCCCGCTAAATCTAGCAGAAAAATTTCCCCACTAAATTTGGCGGGAAAATTTTCCCGCTAAATCTAGCGGAAAATTTTTCCCGCTAATTTTAGCGGAAAAATTTCCCCGCTAAATTTAGCGGAAAAATTTCCCCGCTAAATAGCGGAAAAATTCCCCCGCTAAATAGCGGAAAAATTCCCCCGCTAAATCTAGCGGAAAAATTTCCCCGCTAAATTTAGCGGAAAAAATTTTTCCCGCTAATTTTAGCAAAAAAATTTCTCCGCTAAATTTAGCGGAAAAATTCTCCCGCTAAATTTAGCGGAAAAATTTCCCCGCTAAATTTAGCGGAAAAATTTCCCCGCTAAATCTAGCGGAAAAATTTCCCCACTAAATTTGGCGGGAAAATTTTCCCGCTAAATCTAGCGGAAAATTTTTCCCGCTAGCGGAAAAATTTCCCCGCTAAATAGCGGAAAAATTCCCCCGCTAAATCTAGCGGAAAAATTTCCCCGCTAAATTTAGCGGAAAAATTTTTCCCGCTAATTTTAGCAAAAAAATTTCCCCGCTAAATTTAGCGGAAAAATTCTCCCGCTAAATTTAGCGGAAAAATTTCCCCGCTAAATAGCGGAAAAATTCCCCCGCTAAATCTAGCGGAAAAAATTTCCCCGCTATGTCTAGCGGAAAAATTTCTCTTGGGGTCACGTGACCCCCCCGTGACCTTGGGGACGGGGTCATGTGAACCCACCAAGGTCACGTGACCTTGGGGAGGGGGTCATATGAACCCACCAAGGTCACGTGACCATCCCCCCCCCCTCCCCCCAGGTCACTTGACCCCCCCCCCCCCCCCCCCCCCCCCCGAGACCACGTGAACCTCGGTACCCTTCCCTCCTCCTCCTCAAGAGCTGCGCTCTAATTCGGTGTTACAGAGTTGTAAACGGCTTTCATTTTTTTTTTTTTTTGCATAGGAATAGGTTATTGTAATTTTTAATACTTGGTGCGCATGCTGTATATTGTCTATAAAATAACTGAAAAAAAAAAATTAACTACGTGCCTGCTTTGGTGCGACATTGGGGGCTGTGCAAATTACCATAGTGAAATATCGGCATTGTTCATACATTGGGCTTCTCAATTTTATATCTCCGGGAAACATGTAGATCCCATATTGCTGAATGTTCCTCCCAAGAATGTGGCTTTCATGCATAGTTCTTACAGAAATATACAAAATATGACTCGGACAGTGATTTTGCTTTCCAACTTGATACAAACTAAGTTGGTCGAATGTTGCAGACCCTTTCCTACTTTGAAGACGAGCATTCGTTGGATTTTTTATCTTTTCTTTTTTTTTAATATTGCAGGACAAGAAACTGAGCCGCGAGGAAATCCTGGACAAATACGACCTGTTTGTAGGAAGCCAGGCTACGGACTACGGAGAAGCTCTTACGAGGCACGACGAATTCTGAGGTGGCAGCACCTGGCGATGTGCGAGCCTCACCCTCTGCCTTCGAGGAATCATCTACTTCTCCAGGCACACCAAGAACCTTTTCTTCTCGTTTGGAAGGAAGCTCTTCTATCACTTCTGTTTTTGGAGCTTGAGAAGCTTGAGCTTTGCGATAGAGGCTAGAGAAATATATAGCTCATCTGGAGGTTCTTTTTTTTCTATTATTGTTGTTTGAACGACCATACCAATCAACACCGTTTGGGGTCCCGTTTTCGAGTTCTGGGGTGTGGCATAGTTGCACCTTGCAGGGGTCACATTGCTCGTTTTTGATCAACCGTTAAATGAATAAGCATTTTCTTGTTGTCGGGCAAGTAATGGAATGTAATTGATTGGACTTCTCGTCATGATCTTTGAGGACACATGCACAACTGTTAAAACCAGAAATTGCAGGGTTCCTTTGGTTTTACTGGGAACCTTGTTCCCTTTTCAAGTTGAAATAAGACACTTTTCGAGTAGGTGAAATTACCGGAAGGTGTAAACATTAGGACTTATTGCCCTTGCAACATCCAACAATTTTCTCGAAATAAGAGTCACAATGACCTTCAACGGGGGGGGGGGGGGCTGCCTTGTGGCTTTGAGCCCCAGACAGGAATTTTTCAACTTCTGGCTCGGCTGATCGCGCACATTGAAAGTTTGCATGTAAACAGAATCTTATTACGGCTAAAAAGAAAAACTAATCTGCGCCTTAAAATGGCCGCTCTGTACCAGTCTGCTCGTGTATGGACTTTCAAAGCATATGTGGTGGGCCCTTGCATCCTTTCTAGATTTTGGAGCTGCTAGTCACAAAGTGTTGTTTTTGCGCTTCCAAGCTCTTTGTCCTCTCAGCAGAACTGTCCCTTACGCACTGCCTGTTGTGTCTTTGTGTACCGCCTTTCTGTTCCCTGGCTCACAAATGTCCTTGTGGTGGATAGACTGCGAGAGTTCCAGCAGCTGGGAGCTTTTGCCTGTGTTGTGAGAAGCTGTGGGCCTCGGCTGAAGAGACGACTGCATCCTGACTTTTCCTCTTCACAACTCTCCAAAGACATCTCTTGTGCCAAAGTTGGAACTCGTTTGTTCCGCATTTTTCACAATCGGCATGAAATCGGGAAGTAGAGATCTGTTGCAGCTTTTTCTATGAAGCGACCTGTGCGAGGAACTGTTGAGTTCCAATAAAGATTTTTTAAAAAGGCAATGCGAGGATTTTTATATTGTATTTTCACGTACTGCAATTAATAACCCGAGATACCCTTTTTTATGTCAAGTACCGCTGCCTAAAATGAATGCAAAGCGTACTCTAGTTAAAGCTTTTATTTATTTATTTTGCTACATTTCATAATTTTTTGGGTTGTATTTGTTTTCCAACTGTAATCGGGCATGTTTTCAGCGTGGGGGCCAGACATTGAAAAATGAGAAAAAATTCCGAGGACACCTAAGCACTTAAAAGTTGTGAATGATCCTGAGACGGAGAGGTTGAGAGGAGAGGAAAAAAATGTGCATGACGGGTGGGAGAGGGAGAAAAAACACCCTTTGTGGGATTTATCGATGATTTTGAAGGTGAGAATGCGACTAAAGCAACTGCTCTTTATCCTCCTTTTGTTCTTCCGTTGGGTTCCCCAGAAGAGATTAGTGCACCCCCCAAGCACACCACCCCAACCCCACTTCGCTCAAGGTTTGCGAAGGGGGTGGACCGCCTTCCCTTAAGGTCAATTCCTCCTCTCCCCGCGTTTTCCTCCTTTCCATCGAGGGCAATGCTCCTTGCACGTCGAGCCCCCTGCCGCCATGTTTGTGCGAGGCCCACATGTTTGTGCGAAGCCTGCGTGCCGGGCCGTGTTTGCTATGGCATACAGCAAACTAGAGATTTTTACAGCGGAGCTGTTAAGGGCTAGGTTACCCAGGATCATGTCTGTGTATATCAACACAGACCTACCTGAACAGCTACTGCCATCTATAAGCACTGCGGCAAGCACACAACCAGTATGGTTTCCGCCGTCGCTCATAGATGGCGGCAACCTTTCCAGCTATAATAGAAGAAGGGATAGTTGGGCGCATTGGTGGGAATTCATTGTAGGAAACAGCGCAAAAAACGGACGAAGAAGCACACAGTGTATCGAATACAGCTCCGCTGGTCTTCCTTCCTTTTCTTTCTAGGTTCCCCAGGATCGTGTTTGGTACCAAACAAATGTCGACACAACACTCTGGTTGCCGCCGTCGCTCATAGATGGCGGTAGCTGTCCAGAGTGCTGTGTTTGCCGGTTGTCTGGTTGCGCCATCGCTCATAGATCACGGCAACCTTTCCAGCCTTTCCGCTCTGGCTTGCAGACTTGCGGCCGGTCATTACTTCATTCCCACCATAGTACAGCTCCGCTGGTCTTCCTCCTTCACCTAAATGAAAAAGGAAACTAGCGTTTGTGCACCTTTTTTGGAGTTGTAAAGCACGAGAAGATGTCTTGATCGGCAAATGCAGGAACGTGAGCAGAGTTGGAATCACTCGGGTGTAAGGACAAGCTTCCCCCAATTCTACTAAGTGCGGACAGTTAAAAAAAAAATGGGAATGTAGTTTTGAATATTTTGGGACATTGACATGCACCGCAAAAATATACTACATTTACCGTTTACAGTCGAACCCGGTTATATCACACCCGGGTATTTCGAATTATTGCTTATATCGAACAGTCCAAACATCCCCTTGAAAATCACATGTAATTGTATAGGAGCGTTGTCTTTTTGTATCGAACTCCCATGGCGGTGACACTCGATATAGCGAACGAAGCTCGGCGGCCCTTCGCTTCTCCCGCGGTCGGATTGCTCCCGCGGAGCAACATAGCTCGCGTTGCCGTGCTGGCAGACCGCCAACACGGGGATACTCAACAAAAAGGCAGTTAAAAAAAAGTGGAGGATGGCAAAAGCAAATGGAAGGGCAACAGCGCGCGTAGAGAGGGCAGAGTATGCTCCTTAGCCCCAAAATAAAATAAGCAAAAAAAGTCTTCGTCAAGTCGACAACGATTGAGCAATCGCACTTTGAACCCTTATCTTTGTTTACCTTTTTCTTTCGCCGTTCTTGCTTTGCGCTTTTATTCTATGGATCGAGCGTTTTTTGTTTGTTTTTATGCGGCTTGCTTTTTCCGTTCTTTCATTTTTTTTAATTTGTGTTTTGTGCCGGTGCTGTGCGGAGGTCGCGCGCGCGATTGCAAACACCGTCGCGTAAACGCGGCGGTGTTTGTTATCTTCACCAACTAAGCTCTACTGTATTTAGCGGCTCTATTTGATAAGCTTAAGTTAACACATTTTTGTATATCAAATTATCGATATATCGAACTATTTTACGATCCCCTTTGAATTCGATATATCCGGGTTCGACTAGTGCTTAGACGGGCGCATGATAAAAGCACCTCTTGCTGCGTGTAAATACCGTATTTACTCGCACAATGAACGCACTCGCGTAATAGACGCACCCCCCAAATCGGCTCTCAAATTTTCGACTTTTTTTTTTCACTCGCGTAATAAACGCACCCCCAACTCGGACGTCAAATTTTAACTACCTCCCCCCACGCGCGCGAAATGAACGCACTTTTCTATCCTGGTGCAGCGAGGTCGTGAATGCCTGGGCAACACCGGAGAAAAACGCCTTGCAAAAGGCGTTAAAAAATTCGCAAAGATCCAACGGAAGCAAGAAAAAAAAACAAAGAGTAGCTTTTCTTTTTTTGCACAACGCAGTCTGGATTTTGAGTTCGCACGCCGCCGCGCGCAAGGCGTTTGCTAGGCAACAATTTTTTATAGGAGGGGCCACGTTGCAATATTGGTGAAGCCTAGTCATAAAAAGCTTAAACGATTTTGTGCCCAGCGTGACCGCAGATCTCTCTGGCGATTGGTGCGCGTGACATGTCACGTGTGAGATGGATGGTTGATTGTAGGACTCCTTGCAGGCTTGCGCGCCAAGGAGGATAGAAGGGTAGAAGAGGGCATGGACGTAGGCCGCGTAGCCTACACAAGCCATGCTTCCCTGACGCCTCGCCTCTTTCTCATTTTCCTCCTTACTCTCCTCACTTACCATGCCAACGTGACTACATCACGTGACCGTAGCTAGCCTTCGTGTTGCTATGGGGTACTAGAATACATCAGTCTAACCTTCGATCTGATAAAACCTACCGGACGGAGCGCGTGCAAGCCTGCAAGGAGCGCTCCTACAATCAACCATCCATCTCACACTACATGTCACGCGCACCAATCGCCAGAGAGATCTGTGGTCACGCTGGGCACAAAATCGTTTAAACTTTTTATGACTAGGCTTCACCAATATTGCAACGTGCCCCCTCCTAGTGCTTCTAACCTCCTTGTTGCGCGCGCTCCGTCCGGTAGGTTTTATCAGATCGAAGGCTAGACTGTGGTGTCTTCTAGTACCCAATCATAGCTAGACGAAGGCTAGCTACGGTCACGTGATGTGGTCACGTTGCGTGGTAAGTGAGGAGAGTAAGGAGGAAAATGAGAAAGAGGCGAGGCGTCAAGGGAGCACGGCTTGTGGAGGCTACGCGGCCGACATCATGCCCTCTCCTACCCTTCTATCCCCCTTGGCAACAATGCATGCAACACCTCCTACATGACTCGGAAAAGAGGCGGAAGTGCTTCCTCCGACGGTCGTCGGAGGAGTGGTACCTGTGTGCAAATCACTCCTCCGACGCCGGAAGTGACGTCACCCTGTTAATTATTAATAGCTGATATAAATCACTATTGCATACATAATATTGTGAGGGTACGGATGACAGAGGCAGAGTTAAACGTTACTTAAAGGGTTTAATAACGATGGCAAATTCATACGGCGGTTATGGCGGGAACATCGCATGGCGGGAGCGTTGTCTAGAGTCTCCTCGTTGGGCCAGGCTTGGCTTTGTGAACAACAAGATGTCGGCAGGTGGCGCTAGTAATGAGCCTGCTCACATCCGACTCCCTCTTAATAGGACCAAGGCCCTTTGGTCCCGAAGCTTTCATTCAGAAAGGTCGTAATCTGTCAAATAGTTGGGCAGGCGCCGCACTCGTTGGGTCCTCGAGCTTGGACCGGGGGTTGCAAGTTCTGTGTTGACACTAGGCGTTGGTCCGGTTGTTACGGGTTCTGCTTCGGCACTGGCTGTTGGTCCGGTTGTCACAGGGTCTGGTTCAGCACAGGCTGTCGGTGTGGGTCGCAGATGGGCAAGGAGGGTAGGGTCAACGTATGGAGGACGGAATACTTTGAGCTGGCTGGAGTGCGCAACTCTCTCGTCTCTTGATGAATTGTCGGCTGAATTAGTTATACGGCGAATCTCATAGGTGACTGGAGTCTTCTGTGCGATGATTTGATAAGGTCCCTTGTAGGTTGGAGCAAGTTTTGTAGTGCCATCTGTGATTGGTTCTTGACGTCGAAGCCATACATGCTGGCCTGGTGTAAAGGTGACATGGCGATGGCTCTCGTCATAGCGACGTTTCCGTCGTTGCTGAGCTTGCTCAGAATTCTGTTGCGCTTCACTGCGGCGTTCTGAAAGGTCTAGAAGTCTTGCTTCTAGGGTGGTGGTTCCAAGGCGTCGGAACTTCTCCATGGGCAGTTTGGGCACATATCCGTGCAGCAACTCAAAAGGGGAAAACTGTAAAGTTGCATTGACGGCTGTGTTCACAGCGAAGGCTGCGGCGCTTAGTTTCTCTTCCCAACGTGATGGCTCTGCGTTGCACATCTTTCTCAGCACCGAGGCGAGCGTTCCGTTACTTCTCTCGACAAGCCCATTGCTTGCCACACGGGATCGAAGCTGCTCGAAGAGTGCTTGCATGGCTTTTTGAAATTTAGCGGGGGCACTTTTGAGTCTAAGAGGCATTCTTGTCCACTGGAACATGCCGCGATGCGTAATGAAAGACGTCTTGAGCTGGTCTTCCGGGCGCACTCTTATTTGCCAGTAGGCAAACCTCAGGTCAAGGCGGGCGAACAGCGAGCAACCTGCTATGTCGTCCATAATGTCCTCGGCACGGGGAAGCGGCTGAGCGACACTGACTGTCTGCTTGTTAAGTGGGATGTAGTTTACACACAGTCGTTTCTTGCTTCCACAAGAAACAATGACAATGGGGAAGGCCCAAGGGCTAGAAGACGGCACTATGATGCCCTTCCTCAGGAGCTCATCAGTTTGCTGCTCAATAAACTGTCGGTCATCAGCTGCATACCGATACTGTTGCCGACTGTAAGGTACAGCGTCTGGAACGAGGTCAATGGCGTGCTGTGCTCCTTCATAGAGTCCCAAGTCGTTGTCGTCTGTAGCAAAGAGAGCAATGTGTCGCTGCAGGACATTTTGAATCGCAGTAGACTCTTCTGGCTGTAGCTCTGTGCCAATTTGGGCTTCGCTTAGAATGGAACTTGTCTTGTTTCTCTCGAAACTGTTCGGGCTACATGTTTTTGGAGAATCACGCTCTGGCTGGGGCGACTTTTCATGGCATGCCAGAGCCAGCCACAAGGGCTGGTTGTCATCTGGGAGAGGCTCGAGTTGGAGACCACCTGTCGAAGGGATTGTCGGTGCAAACGGGGAAGAAGTCAGGGTGTGGAGAAGGACAGCGTTCGACATCCTCGGCAACACCTTCTCCTGGCACAACAAGACGGCACCTGAGCTGGGGTGGCGAATTTCAGTTGGATTAGGCGGCCTCACAACAAGTTCTGCATGTGCTGCTTCGAACCAGTCCTCTCCGAGGATCAGAGGCAGGGGGTTGCGCGCAAGTACCATCACCTCCACGACGGCAGAGATGGGACCAACGGAGATGCGAGTGCACAGAGTACCAGTTGGTACAACTGTGCTGCCACCAACGACAGCAATGGGTGGCTTTGTCCATGGTAGCAAGCTCAAGGTTCCGATAAGCTCTTGCGACAGTATGGTCAACTTAGACCCACTGTCAGGGAAAGCGTCAACCTTGCCGATTGTTGGGACATCGGCTTGGACTACAGCACACTGGACCATTGAGCCCTCAAGTGGCTCAGAGTTTTGGAGGCAGGACATGGCAGGGGCATTGGTCTTGAAGCTGGCTGGCTGCTGATTACGAGGGGTCCTTGCAGCGGTGCACTTGGCGGAGAGGTGACCCAGCTGCCGGCAATTGTAGCACACAGCCTTGCTCAAATCTTGGCCGGGGCGATGGGCGGGAGCTCCGTGTTTTGATGTGATGGCAAGGTATCGTGCCTCCTGCTGTTCTTGTGAAAGAGACGAAATGCGCTGTGGTATGGCAGACACACGTTCAGCTCGATTTGAAGATTGCGTAGAGGAAGGCGTTGCGTGTGGTTTGGCAACTGGTGGCCTTGCACTTTCAGCCTCCGTGCGGTTTGACCTTAGACGAGAATGGCTTAAAGTCTGGTCGAGTCGTGTTACAATGTCCATGTATGCAGGGACCGTCGCAGGACACTGCGCTGTGATGGATGTCGCTAGATGTTCGTCATTGATGCCTTGAACAGCATACTCTATGCGCTGAGCATCAGTCAGCACAACGGGGCATTTCGAGATGAGTTTTAGTTTTGCCAGGGAATAGTTGACGAGGCTCTCTGCAGGCGACTGCACCAGAGCGGTGACCTTGTGCTGCCACTGCAGAAGCGTAAGGCGATCACCGAACTGCGCCTGGAAGGCGGCCTTAAAGCTGTCCCAAGTTAGGCACTGGCGTCCAGAAACAGCTTTCCAGTTAGCGGCTGGGCCTCGAAGCTTGCCGAGAGCGACTGCGAGAAGTGTCGAGGGCTCCCAGGAAGCCAGTCCTTGTGTTCGCTCCAGCTCCTCGATCCAATGGCGGGCCGAAATACCTCCATCGCCGCTAAAAGTTGGAAGCGACGCGGACAAGTCCGGCAGGGTAGTCACCTGCACAGGGGCTGGTGCACGTTGAGACACGGTCAGGAACTGCTGCAGCAAGCTTGTCAGTAGCTGCGTGGACTGCGCCGGGTCGAGAGTCGGGAGAGGCGATGACTCTTGCGGGCCTTCTGCGGAGGCCGCCGAGTCGGGAAGAGGCAGGGTCGATGGCGGTGGCGGGGGGCTTCGGGCGATGTCGTCCAGGAGGCGGTGGATGATTTCCTCCTTGGATCCGGCGACGTCAAGTTTGCGACGAGACAACTCGTCGCGAAGGTATTCCGCCGTAAAACCGGCGAGGTCGCTTGGCGTGGCTTCGGCCCAATTGACAAGAGGCATGGCGGGCGGGCGGGCGAGCGGGCGAAACAAAAGATGCGACTCGTTCTTCAGGCGAGTTAGGCAGGCGGTGCGGGCGGGCGAGTGGCATCCAGGCTCCTTGACATGTCGACTGCGCCAAATGTGAGGGTACGGATGACAGAGGCAGAGTTAAACGTTACTTAAAGGGTTTAATAACGATGGCAAATTCATACGGCGGTTATGGCGGGAACATCGCATGGCGGGAGCGTTGTCTAGAGTCTCCTCGTTGGGCCAGGCTTGGCTTTGTGAACAACAAGATGTCGGCAGGTGGCGCTAGTAATGAGCCTGCTCACAATATAATGTGCCTTTTAAAATAAATAAAAATAAAAATAAACTCTGATCAGTGGGCATACCACATAACAAACACCTCCTGGCATCTGTCGCCGGAGGCGATCCGCCCGAACCAACGCTGGCCCGAACCTAGAGCACTATATAGCTCCTTCGGAGCAGAGGATGGATGGATGGATGGATGAATACGGCTGAGCCCTTTGGATCGGGCGGTAGCTTACGCCACCTAGCCATTTTGTTTTACCATTTAAGCTTAGAATATTTAAATGTGAAATCTATATTCACTCCGCAGTGCAAAGAGTAGCGCAATCTAGAGTAGCGCAATCTAGAACGCCGCCTCTCGGCGACTAGCGGCGAACGCCCGGAGGTTCCAACTGTGGTCAGAAATGCATGGAGAACGTGAGAAAAACGTTGTTTCTTCAGTATTGTGGGTTTGTACGGAATGGCAATTGTTTTTGACATAATAATGGAACATTTTAGAATAATTTGCGCTAAGTTTTGTGCCCCGCAAGGACGTGACTTTTTTTTAAAAATTGCCTGAGCGGCATCATGCAGCAGACGACACGGCGACGTCACACCATTCACGTGACCCGCTCCGGCCAACCCGAAAGGCCCATCTCCGCTGCGAGCAAAAATCGTCTGCTTCAAACGCCATTGCCTTGGAAATTGCCTTGTCAAAATTTGCACATGCATCCGATATTATTAAAACTTTGACAAAGTGTTTAGTGCTTTACTAACTTCACGACAGACTAGTTTTGAAAAGTGTGAACTCGCCGTTCATTTTTTAATCAGCCGTGTTGTGTCGATCTCCATGTATTCTCCCATAGGGCAGGCCGCCTTCTGGAACCCTGAGTACCACGTGACTCGCGCCGAGCCGCTCTGTCGGCCATGTTGTCGGCAAAACACGGGGTTCAAAGGATTGCGCTACTCTGCTCCGTAGGAGCTATATAGTGCTCTAGCCCGAACCTAGCCATAAACAACTTCCTAAAAAAGAAAAAAAAAAAAAAAAAAACAGCAGTTTGTTGAGCGCATGACGTTTGTTGGTTTGTTTCGGAAAATACGTCAAGAATACCTGTCAAACCGCGATGCTGCCTGCAAGTAAGATAAATTATATTTTTTTTTCTTTACCGCCACTTTCGATCGCTCAAAATATTTTCAAGAAGTGGGGTCACCGTTGTCAAAATTATAATAAAATTATTTTGAAAGTGGACGTTGAAATCGTTTAAATCACTATGTATGACATACCGAAACTTAAAGCACCGATCGAGATGCCTCCAGTGTCCATCAGTGTCCAACTCTTTGCGCGTAAATTTGCTCGTGAAAATGGACGGCGATATTCGCGATGTCTTGGAAAAGTCGGTAATTTACGACAGGGGAGTGGTAAGTAGAGACCATTCGATATCCGTACGATGTCGGCGCTTAACAACGCAGCAACAAAATGCTCTTGAACGCATTTCAAGAGATGCGCGGGGACAAGCTCCCGCTCGAATGGCGGGTTACGGACAACGGGTTTTTCTTGTCCCCGTGATAGAGAATTTGCAGTGCCTACCTAGCGTTACGCCCGACGGAACCCAAAAAGATACGTCCTACGTAACTTTACCCTAAGGTTTCGAGTTACGTCCTACGCCTGTGTAACGTTACGCTTTGTGGCCGAAACACGACGTAAACAACAAAAATCAATTACTTCTGCATTCCGTCCGATGCAGCGTTGGTAAATTCGTCAAAATCGCGGCTCTAATCGTACCTCCGTGTTCCTAGTGTCTAAGCTAATATATGTACTTCAGGTGGTGCATTGTGCGCGTAAAAACAATAAAAGATTACATCGAATTTTTGCGACATTTATTTGGCGTTCGTCGTGGGAGCTTCTCAAAAGAGACAACCTCTTCCTTCCCCTTGAGGCAGTTGGACTGAATCTGTGTCGTCTATTTGTCCGGCAATTAGTAGCCCGTTTTCTTTTCTTTCTTTCTTTAATAATGCCGATTACCCCTTTCTCGACCCCGTTCTTCAGTTATGGCTGGCCACAAGTTTAAATTATTTAATTGTATCCAGCGATGATTCCTTTCAAGGAAGACCTTGGGGCCTCCTAAAACAGGTTGTGGACACGTTTGAATTCCTGAAGACACGTTTCTCATTAGCATATTTATTTAGTGTAACACGCAAGGAACTATCAGCAGCGATAATTGAAAGCGTCTCTCCTATCCCGCTTTATGCAAGTTACTTTTCCGTTGATCCCCATCTTCTTTACAGAGTAAAGAAGATGCGTTCTATCATCAACCGAGTCTTTTTTTTCTTTTTCAAAATGCACACTTTGACCTTGCCCGTTAAAATTTGGCTTCATAGTAAGGGGATATTTGTGCCATGGTCCGTTAACTGTAGGCTATGCAACAAGCTTGAAACCATAGAACACCGTTTCATTTACTGTAATGACGCCTTCTTTTTTTTTCTGGGATGTGCTTCAACAAACACTAAAGAAAGACCTCGACATCACTGATCAAAATATTCGGTTCCTTCCATTCTCAAAAGAGGAAAGTAGAATTCCTTACGACATGTTCGTAATTTAAGCCTCCACGGTTTATGAAGATGTAGAAGGATCGATAGAAATGCGGAACCGCCACGCACGACAAAATCCATTTTTGTGGAGAATATGGCTCAGCTGCGCAGTGCTTATGCGGCACAGCCATCCCAGCCTGTCTGGTATATCCACTGTTAGACGCCTGCATAGGTCTACCAGATTTTTGAACATTTTGCTCGTTTGCCCCGTGTCAACTCCTCCGTTATTTATGTATATAGCACTGTGATACTAAAAACTTTAGATGCATTCTGAGAATCGTTAGATTTGAAAGATTTGATTATCATCTGTATAGCTTTTGTATATTAATCTAATCAAAACACCAGCGTGAAAAACGCCAACTGTTGACTGCAGATTGGATGTTCTCTGTAATTAGCATTTCATCTTTGTATGTATATTACCATACTAGTTTGCCTGTCTGAATGCTTTTTGGCTGATGTGCACTCTCTTGTTCCATAACTTCCATCTGAAAAAAACAACAAAAATACTGGGTTTTTTGGGAGGTTGGAGTGGTGTTCCTCGTATGTAGAGACTGCGTAAACAAGGCGGGTTCAATACCCGTTGCATGCGCTTTTTTTCCCCCTCTCTTTTAGTGGCTTTTTTCTCCTTTAAGAGGATTTATTTTCCGATCTGTTTTTCGATATGAAACCACTTTTTCCTAGACGTGACGCACAAAAGAAAAGAAGAAACAAAACCTTAACAAAATGGAAACCGCAGCACGCGTGCTGCGAGCATCAGACTGCTCAGACCCTCAGATACCAGTGTTGGGGTGTTGGTTCGTGCGACAGATTGAGGGCCATCGTCTCGTCTAAAGCATCTAAAGCCGTGATCTAGAAAAGTGGTGTTGCTCGTATGTTAAGGCAGTCTTGATGCTAGTACGCCTAAACAGGTGACTTGTCTCTTAGCTGTAGATGGGAAAGTTAGCCGTACAACCGCTAACCTGGGGTCTTTAACGTGCACAGTGCAGTAGTAATTACACGAATGCGTGCCGGTGCCACACCTTGCGCCGGTATGAAACTCATCCAGGTCGCAACGGGCAGAGGGTGGGAGTAGCTTTATTTTTTATTTCGAGTTTCGTCGGACGTAACTTTAATTTTCACATTGGGTTCCGTCGGACGTAACTCGAAACCTTGGGGTAAAGTTAAGTCGGACGCAACTTTAATTTTTATTTAGAGTTCCGTCGGACGTAAGTTTATTTTTCAGATTGGGTTGCGTCAGACGTAACTCGAATCCTTACGTAAAGTTACGTCGGACGTAACTTCAATTTTTATTTCGGGTTCCGTCGGACGTAACGCTAGACACTGCGTAAATAATTTCCCCGCCTAACTCGGAATTTCGCTTCAGGTTACCTTCAAATGGCTGACATGGAAACTCGGCGTCCATCCCAACGTAGCCAAGGAGTGAGTGCTGAGGTTTTGTTCTTATGTCCTTTCAAATCCTCATGACGAGTTTTGTTTCTCAAGACATCTCCAGCGGTTCATCAATGAACAAGAGGTGGACGGATCGAATGTTGCTGGGCATTCAATCGTTACCGGTGTCAAGAATAAGGTACGTTGTTCGGGTCCTTCTCTCGTAGGCTCAAGCTCTCTACACCCCTTCCGAAAGTTACGTGCCATTGCACGATGGCGTAACAAGCATCACCGCGGAACGTGCAGAAAGCGCGAGCTTCGACTTGTGCTGTCACTGCACGCGGTCTCGTGTAGCTGAGGCGCAGTCCAGCGCAAGGAGCTCGTGCTTGTGTTCCAGGACACCCAACAGAGGGCAGATTTTCCAAAGGTGTATTTTGTGTGAGTCCTTTGTTTTCATGAGTTGCAAGCAAAAGCTAGTTTCTCCCGGTGCTGTAGTTTCTATTACATGCCTCTCAGTGGTTTCCACCACGTGCTAATACCACAAACGACGTCTTAATGACTGAAAAAAAAATGATAAACTGGGTTCTGTCGGCGAGCTACGTGCTGACCTAAGAGCATCGCCCAAATATGCGCAATGCTGTGGCGCACTAATAGTGCTAGGAAGAATAATGATGAGTTGCTTAACTTTCCAGGGACTTGCTCCGCATTCAGCAATAACTAAATCATCCGTTATGCATAGTATTGCTAGTATTCCTAGAGTGGGACATTCCTCCACACGTACAATCGATTGATTTTTTTGAGTCGGCATTAAGCAGATTATAGGACGCAATGTGACGTTGGAGAGCATGCTTTTAAGCGCCTTACCGGGAAAAAGCATTTAGTTTTGTGCAGTCTCGTGTTCTCTACGTCCTTCCATCAAAAAGCAAGAACCAGTGATGCGCAGCTTTTATATAAAATTACGTAGGATATATCGGTGACTTCTCCAACCTTCTGAGACCCGGTTTTACGTTGATAGCTGTTATGGGCTCTTCCCACCCCTAGAAACAGCGTTCGTCGTGGGTGCAGTGGGGAGTACGACGTCCTGCGTCAGTATTTCCAACTGCTCGATAAAGATGGCTGCTCTCGGGATTCAATCCCGGGTGCGCCGCATGCGAAGAGGGTGCACTCCCGCGGAGCTACGGCAGAGCTTTGATCATCCGCTTTATAATACGCTATTTGTAGAACAAACAGGCGCGCATGAGTTACGTAGTGCCCCCTAAACGACCGCAGTTGCTGCGACATCGCGATAGAAAATTTTTCGTCATTTTTAATTAATTTCAAATTTAATCGGAGTTATTATTAAAAGCGGCTAGGGGGGCACCAGCCATTGCCCGATAAAAAGGCTTCAGCCGCATCCGTCCTCTAACAGCACCTAGAGGACAATTGCGTCGTCATTCATCGACCCCCCGGGCAACAAAAGCGTTGAAGCTTGACGAGGGCAGGGCTCAAAGCGGCAGGCGCAGGTGGCTCGAGATCACGCTCGTTGTGAGACGCTGAAAGAAGCACTGGCGGCGATGCGCAAGTGCCTTAAGTACTGGGGGAGCGCCCACTCCACCTTCGCTGGAATCTGGGCTAATCCAGATGGGGGCTGTAGTGTTTGAGGGGCTATACTGCATTAGGATATATGCGGAGGAAGGCTTACGGTACGACGACGATGGCGTGGAGGGCAGCGGCGGCCCGCGGCCAAGCGGACACGCCGAAGGAAAAAGGACACGTCCAGCCCCGACGAACGCTGCTACACTTCTTCTTTTTATTCACGCGCACAAGGACGATTAAAGGAAAAGGGGCACCCTGGTGGCGATTCATAAACTCAATTACAACAGGGGCGCTCATCCGGTCAAACTTGAACGTAGAGCTTGCACAATTCCTATGTTTGGGAAATGTCCATAGTGGGCGTCTGCATGAAGCGGGTACTTCCGCGGTATTTTACGCGGTATATTAAATCTAACGCCACATTTATTAAAGAAAAGATGAAGCGTCATAAACTGTAAAAATGTTATTTTGATATCGTAAATAATGAGCAAAGAAGTTTCCCCCGGCACATCTCCCCAGTGATAGCAGATGCATCGAGAAGACCGTGGAGATTCACGGTGCTTGATTGGCCCAAGTGGATTGTAGAGACGGGGGCGGTCGGGCTTAGCCTGGACCAGGCTATAGTCTCGTAGCGAGCGTCCGGGTGTGGTCGCAAAGTGGAGATCTCTGATGCGCATCTTCCGTGCATCTGAACAGTGCTGAGCATATGTGGTTAGGAATTTCTGGTGCGTGTTTAATTATTGCGTCGCAATGGGCTGCGTGGGAGCGTGCATTTCACACTGTGGTCCATCCGTGCGTATCAGTACCGTTACGGTGCTGTATGGCTGCTCCTTTTGTCGTCGTTCACCTTATTCCCAGTATTCTGGTGCATACTTGCTCGGTACTGCTTCATGTTTTCCCGTCTCACTTTCTTCCTTCGTAACTTTCAGTGTCTTCCGACATCGCTTTAGAAAAAGGTTGCTCTAAAGCTAGAATGATCTAAGTTTTGTTTCGAAACAAAAAAAAAGTTAAATTATAAGCGTATGCCATAATTGTAATTTATAAAAATACCTAAAAGTTTTGTTTCTGACTTTCGGTCAGTGTGTTACCAGAGATGGTATTTCGTATTGTCGTCTTTGTTATGTCGAAAGACGTTGCGACTAGATTTTATTGATATTGATTGGCCCTTTTCTTTATTACTCGAGATAACCTGTTCCGATAAGTGTTCGCGTCGCAAACTTTCGTCGCAAACAGAAAGTTTGCGGACGATTCTTCAAAATATTGGAGCATTTCCCTACTGGCAGATACTTCTTCGGTCGAATACATATTGAATCGTTTTTGACATTCCTCGCGGTATCGATACCGTAATTGATATTTTTTGTTGTTTCATTTTGCTTTACTCGATTCTTTGTTTAAAAAAATTATGCATTCTTCATTACCTGTCTAATCTGTCACATTGAATGCAGAGTCCCAGAAACTCTGTCGGGCACCACGCATGCATCTTTGCTCCCTCGTGCAAAAAAGCAAAAAGTAAATACTGAAGAAAAAAAAAATGGCCTCCTTGTGCCTGTACCCCCCAGACCCCTAGAAATGGGGACACTCCCCCCTCTAAGTTGAATTCCTGGGGAAACCCCTGGCAGACAGAACTGTGAGCTGCATGCTTGTGAAAACGATGCCAATTGAGACTTTGCCGTCGAGACCCCACGGAGCATGAATGCTGCACCGATACCCAAAAACTTTGCTGTGGTTGTACTGAGGATTAATGTAGGACTGTTTAATTTTTTTAACTCGGCGAGTGTGAGGGAAATATATGGAGCCTTTTTTGTCACGATTGACTCGAAAATCTGTTTGAATTTGTAGCGAGCCTTTCTCTACGTACATGTTGCGCTCACCTTAAGTCGATCTCCCGTCAGGTCTACCGGGTCGTCTTGACACCGAGGAAGCAGGTTGAAGAGGCGAAGAAGAGCCTTACGTCCGTGACTGGTGTCCACGTGTATAGCGCCCAACCAGCAAACTTGGAGGTAAGGGACGCACCTTCTTCGGACATGTGGCAACACCCCCGACAATCTCACCCGCAGGATGTGGAGGCCAAGCTGCTCGATGCAGCCACCAAATGTCAGCACTCCGAGTAAGAAAGTACCGCTCAACTGCGGCGTAACTGTCTTTCTCGAAAGTTTTGCTGGCCTTGTGCCCATCATAGCGTGATAGGATAGTTGGCTAATACTCAAAACTCTCTCGTTGCGTGCCAGGGCATCTCCGATTCGTTGCGACGCGGCGCTCGAAACCCGAAGCTCCGCAAAACGTCCACCGGCGGCGGTGAAAGTCGGCCCATCGTCAACGGCGGGGAAAACGTCGGTGCAGGTGGCTGCCATCTTCATTACGGTTTTTCAGTATTGCGGAAGGAACTTGGCTCACATATAGTTCTCGTTTGAATTTACCGGTATAATTGGAAGTGTAGAGTCCTCGTGCAGAAACCAGCGTAAAATCGTTGTTGCGCACCAGTCCGTGGGTCTTCTTCGATGGTGTCCAGAAACTGTCGAGTAAAATTGCTTAAAACCGAGTGAGTAGTACTACTCATTAACGTAAACAATATCCCTTTCACCTGAAAAACTACTAGGTGTCGTCTCTGTTCCCCTGACCTTCCATCATGTAGTTTGGGTGTCAGTGAATTCGTACGAATCTTAACTTCAATTGCGAGGGAAATAATGCCCCTTGAAATGACAGCAAGCAACTGCACAAAGCTTATTGTACATATTGAAATTGTCTTTCTAGACAACAGGCACGCTGAAGAATTTTTTTTAATTTGACCGAGCAGTTGGTTTCGGCAGGGAATGTGATTGCACAAAGAGCGTGTGACCGCCCTTTATGGGCAAACAAAGTTCTGATCGTATTGCGTGTGGATGAAATGGCCTTCACCAAAACTGAACCGTTTCCTTGTGCTTCAGGGCTCGACCCAGTTGGTCACAGCGAAGAAGGAGGAGTCTCCCCCGGTACGTTTTTGCCAAGCTTTTGGATGCTGTTGGTGGGAGCGTGAGTGTGGAGCGCAGGGGTCTCAAGCTCGCTCGAGCGGGGAGGCCAGATAACTCCCCTCAAAAGGCGAGGGTCAAGTGGTCTTCTAGAGAAGGGACTTTGTGGTTAGGTGCAGTTCTGACGGTAACATCTCTAGGTTTGATTTGCTTAGAGCACTACTATTGGCCCTTACCTAACGCGATCGTTCCCGCTGCTCAATTCATTCTGGAAGCATTTGAGCTCGACGTGTCTCGCAAAAATATAAAGTCGTCTTACCACAGTTTGTGCTTTCGTGGGAATTTTCGCAGTGGCAGTCTGAGAGAATACCCGTATTTTATTGACAATATTTCCCGAAGGCGAGATTCCCGTACCCGTGGCTTTATATTTGGCAGTCATTTCTGCTGAGGGAGAGATAGTGCAGCCGAAGTGCGTCCTGTAGCAAAGAACTCTGGCTCGCAGCGCTAGCAGCGGAATTGTTGTACAGATGATCGACGTAACGAAAAGCTGGGAAGTGAGATGAATACAAAACACGAGGCAAATGAAAATGGAGTAGTATTAAATATCTGAATACGTTATAAGAGCAGAGCTACGTTTCGAGCGCAAATGAATGGGCGACACAATATTCTAGCGCGTGCCATTTGTACCGCTCTAAGCATGGGAACCAGAGCTCGCAGCCGGTTGCCTGCGGGCCGTGTGGCAGCGAGTCGCGGGCTGCGTGTTTGAGACCCCCGGTCTATTGGTAAGATAATCTCGAAGAAAAATTTCCTTCCACTAGACTTCCAAGCCCATCAAGACCACCAAACCTGGTGCTGCATCTGTGAGTCAAGTTTTGATGCTATGAAAGTCTATTTGTTTTCTGGATCTTTGTTTTTGTTTGTTGATTATTGACGTACGCCTCGCACCGCTTCCGCTAAAACAAAGGCACCGTTGCAACCATTCCCCTTCTGTTAGGTGCCCTAGTCGTAGATAACCTGCGAGATTTGAATCTTTTCATTCTCTCGTATCATTTTCTTTCAGAAAAGCTCCAAGGGAAAAGGGAAGCAGAATGAGCTGGCGGCCATGTTCTCAAAAGCGAGGGCAGGTAAGCTTTCATTTCCTCGCCAGTGTTTTGGTCGTACCTGAGAAGCGGCCGTTCTTGGAATGATGTCCAGGAACCTTCCTGGCAGCCAGGACTAAAGGAACGTTGCCCGAAAGAACCCGGGAGGGGAAAGTGAGGTCGCCTGTGACATCGACGGTGTCCTGTTCCTGCTTCCGCAAGACGCGCTGAGAGTCGAAAATATTGATCTTTTCAGAACCTAAATGGGGGAAGGCTGTCCACCCTCGTTGCCCTCCTTGCAGACCTTGCCCGGGATTGTGGTGGGGGGGTGCACTTTTCATTTCTTGGCAACCCTACAAAAGGACATATTTTGAGGTCGGGGCTCGATAAAAGCTGTAAAATAACTGTCCCCTGGGTCCGCTCTTGCCGTAAGGCACTGCAGACTGAGAGGAGCCCCGTAGCTAGAGTTCGCCAGAGCCTCCGTTGCAGCTATACATCTGGCAGGGCGCGCCACGAGCATGTTCAGGTTGACTTCCCACGCGGCGACAACTGTGGGGGCTCGCGCCCCCCTACAAAAGGACAGAGAAATGCATAAGGAGCAGTTGCTTTTGTATTGTGCCCTTCGAAGCCACGAAAAAATCCCGCAAAAGGGGCCTTCTCTCCCGCCCGTGAAGACTAATGTCCGTTTTTCCCTTTCTCTCTCGACCCGCTCTTCGCCAGTGCACCGGCCGTCTCTCTAGGTCGTCCAGACGCATCCGCACACACTGGCCTGTTCTGGTTTGCGGAAGTTAGAAAAGAACCATAGTGGGTTCCGTCTCCCGGATTTTTTCAAACGACGTTTTGTGGACTGGCTCGGACCGCCCCGAACTTCTAAAGACCATTGCAGATTCTTTGAGATGAAGGCACCCGAATACTTTTTTTCCCAGCTCCGGCAAGTGCAAAAGCTGCGAGCACATCATCCGGAAAGCCAGCATCCAGCGAGAAGGGAAAGGAACCCGGCAAAGACCCGAAGAGCTCTCCAGCCGGCAAGGCTAAGGTTGCCAGGGAACTTGAGGACGTGGCTCCCAACTCAATCACCCCAAAGAAGGAGGGGAAGCCAGAGGTGCAGGAATCGCCCGAGTCCCCCGTTCGCTCCAAGAGGGTATCCAAGCGCAAAGTGATCAGGTGAGACGGAACATTCTGCCTCCTTGAAATTTCTGCGCATACTTGACGCTCTTTGCAAAGAGCCGCTTGTTTCCCTTCATTTTTCTCCAGCCAGAGAATATTTGAAGCTGGATACTGGCACAATATTAAAAGCTTTTGGGTTCACGAGTGATGCCGGCAAATTTCCGAAAAAGATATTTGAACCTCGATGAGAAAAGTGATGCCCCGTTTTTGTGCCCTAACTTCCGTGAATGGAGTGGAAATTACTTATACTACCGTAAACTAGTTTATTTTTGCGAGCTCAATATTTTGCCGAGTGTAGGTTTTGGGAACGTTTTGTAGGCACAAAATTTTGCCATCGGGAATGGTTTGCTACGTCTAGCCATGTCTAGCCTTGCACGCCGCTGAGTGGGCAAACTTTCTGGCGCAAATAAAAATGAATATTATTATTTTTTATGTATTGTTACGATAGGGTAATATATTAACGAGTATTTTTCAAAAGTACGTCGCGAGTTGGGAAATTTGCAAAAATAAAATTGATGGTCTCGGTTAAGAGCTCGTCATTGCTTCGTCAAGAAACTGAGCGAAACGAAATAGCGATGCATGGTATCCTTTATCTGAGGCTCAAAGACTTTTTAGTCGATTTGAGCAACAAGCAGGCGTCTTTTACGGCCATAGCTGTTGTGGCCTCTTCCCACCACTACGTCCGTTGTTGATGTTGGCCTTGTGGGGCAGCCATCCTTCACGTTGCCAAATCTTCGAAAAAGACGGCTCGGAAGAATTGAACCCGGGTCCGCCGCGTGCGAAGCGAAAGCGTTGTACTCAGCTAAGCCACAGCGTTAACAGCCCGCTCTATGCTTTTTGTAGTACTATACTACGCGTGCTCCCTGGAAAAAAAGAATAGCCAATAACAAAATGTTGCTGTAGCACTGCCTATGCCAAAAGCTCATGTCGGAAACCGCGCTTCCAAGCGTGCCGAAAAAGAAAGACCCGTCGCAGTTATCGCCGTGACTGTACCGTGGATCGACGCAGAGCTGCTTAATTTTTCCCACATTATTGACGCCCATTTTTTTTTCTCCTAAACTACGCAGTCCCGCTGTAGTGCAGTACCTCTACAGAAATGCACTTTATTGACTCCCGCCTTTATTTCTTTTATTGCCACGCAAATCAGCGATTGTGAGGAGGAAGAAGACACGCCCAACCAAACGGCATCCAGCTGGGATCCCATTCAAAGCAGCGGTAAGCGTCACCCTTCCTCCAAGTGCGAGTCGGGTGAGCTGCTTTTCTGAAGGCCCCGGGACGCTGGGGCAATCTGACAGCAACGCAACATGTTGTCGAACATGGAACGCTTCTTCGAGGTAATCCTGTGCCGATTAAGAATTGGCCACACGCATCTCTCACGTGGGTGTTTGCTTCGTCCAGAGGATCCACCCATGTGTGAGCACTGCACAGAACCCCTAAGTGTAGTGCACATTCTCCTTGAATGCCCTGCATGTGACAGTGATCGCCCATTTCACTTCTCCCAGTTTTATAGAGCCCGGCTCCCTTTACACATTGCTTTGTTGCTTAAAGACAAACCTTTCATTAACCATACTCACATTTTTAATTTCCTAAAAGACCTCGGCCTTTTACACCGACTGTAGTTTGAAGCCGTAATTTTTATATTAATTATACGCATTGTGTCGTGCTCATTGTTTTATTCGTTCATCGGCTACTAAAGCTCCTTTCCTCCTTCTAAACCTTTTCCTGCAATAGTACGATGTTTGGCGCTCTATGGCCTAAGGTGCCTTTGTGCCAATAAACCCCAGTCAATCGATCCATGTTGTCGGGCAACTTGTTGCTCGTTCCCCGTGTTGTGCAACAGCCCTGTCACGTCGCGGCAAGAGCGGCACAACGCGGATGACGACGAAGGTGTTGCCTCGGTGTGACGGTTTTTGGCAGCAAAAACAGCAGCAACTTGTGTTAGACAATGTGTGTTGCCCCGATCGCTGGCTCAGCGAATTTCAGGCCGGCAACGCGACAATGCAGGTAGCTTCGATGGCAGAGTTAGTTCCCTACCAACGTCTTTATTAAGGGCTTAGTCGAATAAAGCCTCAGAAAACGTTATTTAACAATAAGTAAGGCTGGCGCGCAGCTAAAATAATTTGATGAATGCTTTTACTACATGATTACGGAAGGCGATTGTCGAAACGCTCAAAATTGGGCATGTCCGGACTGCCGTTGAAATTAGAACTGCCGAGAGACCAGCTCACGTTACTGCTGGTGAAATGAAATGGCACGCCTACTCACCCATTGATAAAGCGTAACAAGTATAATAAGCAAATATTAGAAAATCAAAGTGTTAAGACAACCACTCTGATCACGACAGTTGGTGCTTGGAACTCGGAGACAGCCGCTAGCAGATGCCTAAACTGTTTTCGATATGGCCAGTACGTTTTGGGGATCACGTAGCGGGCAATAGGCAAATGGACAGCGTGGAAAAATTATTGCACCGATTTTTATGGAGGCCCATCGTGTGAGCGTCACACATTTTTGAGCACAGTCAGTTCAGCTCAACACCACGCAACAGAAGACGCTTCGAGGTGCTGCGGGTGCTAACTCTATCTTACGGTAGAAATAGGAATTGCACAAATGAAAGAACCAGACAGAAACGCTTCCCACGGTGGCGTAAATCCCAAACATATATCGGTGATCTCACTTTCCTCGGTCAGGGCTATGTGCATTGTCGGCGAATGAAGAACATTTGGGTAAAATAAAGGGGGGGAAATACTCCCTGTGTCATGTTTTCTAATGACAGTCACTGGTTGATGTTGTCCCATAGTAATTTCCGGCCCTTCGAACGCACTAGCATTTTGTGGAGTCGCATTTCCAGCGACGCCACACCGCACACGATCGAAGATGAACGGTCAAGATGACGAAGTGTTTGCCTTGTCCGTGCTGTGTGGCAGGGTGGTGGGACAACAAATCGGCCGACACGGTTGCCGGGCGACAGCAACACGTTGCCCGACTGTTGTTGCTGCGATGTGACGGGGTCGGCGGAAACAGGTTTTCCTCATGTTGCCGGATAGAGTTGTTCAACTGTTGCCTCAGTGTGACTGGGCCTTAAGAGGGTCGTGTTTGTGTTTCTTCACCTAAATCAGACCGAACGGACGGGAGCACGGGAGACTCAAAGAAGTCGTCGGGAGACCCGAAAGAGAGGAGCAAGAAGCGCAGGCGAGTCATGAAGTCGGTCCAGCAGACGTTCAAGGACGAGGACGGCTACCTCGGTGAGCAGCCTCCCCAATTTCGGATCTGATTTCCAATTGGTCGAGGGTCACACAAGTGCAATGGGCCTTTCTCTCGGGCTGTCGTCGGCCGCTCGGTCAAACGAATCTCGTCGGTTTTGTTCTACGGAGTCCATACGATAAATAGTATAGAGGAAAATGGCCGAAATCTTTACGCGCATTTCAATTAGGAAAACACAGTGTGGGTGCAGGCAAGCTGGTGTGGGTTTACCATCTTGATAAAACATCCGAGACTGGGTGAGAAAATCTCGAAACAACCAAAATAGAAGAGACGGGGAAAGACGTCGTCTGACTGACATCTTTCCCCGTCTTTTCTACTTTGGTTGTTTCAAGACTTTCTCACCTAGTCTCGGGTGATTAGAACAAAATAGTAAATTTCAGTTGCGTTGGAACGGCGGTGGACAGAGGCAGACATTTGTGGCCCGGATGATTTGATTAGCTTTCACAAGCATAAAGCTGTAGTCATTTTTATTGTGCCAAAACTCCCGACAGCAGTCGTCGCACTAACGTGACTCTGAAGTTGAAAACTTCTCGAATGCCTTTATCGCGGCGATACAACCTTGCATTCGCTTTCTTCCTCCCCTCTTCTCTCGCATTCTCTGGAGACTCCTTCAGGTTTACTATCTTTTGTGCGACTGTGGTTTGCGTGGTCCCCAACGTCTCTGGTTTCTTGCACTGCCAGTGACCAAGACGGTGAAGCAGATGGTGAGTGAATCGGACGAAGAGGAGGAAGACCCCATCCCGAAAACAGTGAGGGAGCAGGCCAAGCGGGCCAACCCAAGCAAGAAGCAGCAGTCCCTGCTCTCCTTCTTTGGCAAGAGGCCACCCCAATGAAGAGCTCTTTCCCTCTTTGCCCTCTGTTGGGATTCCTGGCCACTGCCTTGGCTCGAGAATGCGCCGCCTTATTTGTTTGCACAATCTATTCTAGACCCATTTGAAAACCAGCATTGGGAAGTACTTTAAGTACATTGTACTTAAGAGGGGACTCTACCTAGGCATGTCTACTTTTGAACTGCTCACCCAATCAGCGTGAAATTTGCAGGTAGTGTTTGTAGCCATATAGGAGGAGGAGACGCAAAGTTTCAGCCCTGAGAACCAACTTTGTGAGCTGCTCTACCAGGGGTGGCCAGGCTGACCCGGCCTGAGAGCCGCAAGCAAAACCACAAAACTTCCAAGAGCCGCGGGGGGTGTAAACGAAACTTGCTACTTTCGATCTATCCGAGTCAAAAGCGGTCCAACTGTACGTAAAGTAGCAGTAGCACAAGTCTACCAAACCGCAACCTGTCTTTTGATTTGAAACGCCCTCCATTTCTCTTTTTAGGGAAGTGCTCGTGTGACCAGAAGGGAAGCGGAGGGGGGGGGGGGGGGGAGGGAGCCGCGAGCCACACTTTAACACATGAAGAGCCGCAGCTTGGCCACCCCTTAGAACGTAGCTTTGTATGGAATCTGCTCAATGAATCTTTCGTTGAGGAATGGTGTTGATCACCACATATTTTTCTGGTGGAATGCATACTGGAATACTCTTCGCCGGTTACTATAAAAAGAAATTTCAGAAAATGTGCATCTTTAAAATAAAAAAAATGTATGAAAGGTTTTTTTTCACATTTGCCAAGTTTTGCAAATTACAAATTTTTATAATAAAGGAAAATGCAAAATCAAAGTTCATAGTAACCGGCTCGACAAAATTTTGCCCTATCATCCGCAAATATTAAGTATCTCGGTTGTTTCATAATGAAACTATAGTTTTATTAAGGTGGGATTTGCTGCCAAAAGTGAAGCTGAGATAACTGCACTTGAAGTTTCAAGATGACGTTTTTGAAAATTTCTTTTTGCGCCTTAAATTTCAGAAATTCTTTCCAGCAGTGTAGGTGATGTCTTCCTCAAACTTCTTCCGATATACTGACATTGCTTTCAGCTATTTTCTATTTCTGGATGACAAGTGCTACGCAGTGCAGCACACCTCACCAACGTATAAAGAATAATTATTTTTGACATTGTTTGTTAGTGCACATTGACAAGACTTTGTGAGAGTGTCCCTTGTTATCCATACATGCCAAAACTTTGCAGTTCTGAATATGTATTTCTTGTAAAAAAAGGTGCAATTCAAGGTAGTGTCCCCCCTTAAAGTCCTATTTTAGTAACTTGTACTTTACTCGAAGTATGTTCCACATACTTGGTGATGGAAGTGCTGTGCCATTGGCACCACCAACGAATGTCCGCTACATCTTGCGCCAAAACGTCAGTTTTGTTAAGAATTGTCCTGCACCTGAACGTGCTTAGACTAAGCAAGAAATAACATTATTTTATTTTTGGTCGATCCTAACATTTAGGGAAGCAGAGGGAAACGAATATGCTAGAAATATGGATTTACGACGTGTCTAACCACCGTGACGAAGCAAGAAATAACATTATTTTATTTTTGGTCGATCCAAACATTTAGGGAAACAGAGGGAAACGAATATGCTAGAAATATGGATTTACGACTTGTCTAACCACCGTGACGAAGCAAGAAATAACATTATTTTATTTTTGGTCGATCCAAACATTTAGGGAAGCAGAGGGAAACGAATATGCTACAAATATGGATTTACGGCGTGTCTAACCACTGACGAAGCAAGAAATAACATTATTTTATTTTTGGTTGATCCTAACATCTAGGGAAGCAGAGGGAGATGCTAGAAATATGGATTTACGGCGTGTCTAACCACCGTGACGAAGCAAGAAATAACATTATTTTATTTTTGGTCGATCCAAACATTTAGGGAAGCAGGGGGAAACTAATATACTACAAATATAGATTTACGGCGTGTCTAACCACCGTGACGAAGCAAGAAATAACATTATTTTATTTTTGGTCGATCCAAACATTTAGGGAAGCAGAGGGAGACAAATATGCTACAAATATGGATTTACGGCGTGTTTAACCACCGTGACGAAGCAAGAAATAACATTATTTTATTTTTGGTCGATCCAAACATTTAGGGAAGCAGAGGGAAACGAATATACACTCCGTGCGACGCGACCGCCGCGCCGCCGCGCGGCCGTTACTGAGGGTAGGCAGTGAGAGCCCCGGCGAAACAAAACCACGCCGCGTACATTCGTACGCATTGAAGTCGGAGCGGTGCGGTTGCGCTGGGTTAACAGCATGAACTGCTGCGTCGTTAAGTGCTCCAATACTTATGCGTAGTATCTCGTGGGGACGAAGTTTCACAGCTTTTCACCTCGCCGATGTTTTGTGGGACAGCGACAACGATGGACCCATGCTGTACGACGCGATAAATTTGGTCTCCCGATCATGTCTGCCACTGTGTCGGCATGGCTGACATATTCTACACTGCCGCTTTGCGCTCTGCATTTGTTTTCGTACCAGTAACATCTTAGCTCGAGCTGAAATGCCATCCCACACTCGCGGGTATGCAGTGCGAATTTCGTTGAAGGAATGCCTTCGAAAGACGTTTCGTCCGTATTGTACGTGTCGATGATTTTTCCGGACCAGTAGGGCATGCGGTCTGTACTTCATAAAGAAAGATTCGGACGGTACAAAAATTGACAAATATGAATCCAAGGAAAACTACAATGAAACTTGGAATCACTGGACAATTAATGTTTGAGTATGAAAGTTTATGTGGTGTGCTTTCTTTTTTGATCAGCCTCCTTTTGGATGTGGAAACGCTAACACCCCAAGTCTTGTAGAAAACAATTTTTTTTCTCGGCTTTAGAGCCATTTATCGCAAAGTTATTCGAACTGGAAGTACCGTCCACTGGTCCCCTCCTACCCGGGGCTTACAGTTTGGGGGGTCCCAAGACGTCTCAACCCCCCCACTGATTTTAACGGATGGTCTGAGACCCTCCTCTGCAGCCCCAGCATTAGTGAAATCAAAATCATATCTTGCTATAAGATAGCTTGTTTTCAGGGATGTGACATTTGGGGTTGAGGGTTCGAGGTACAGCGTGGACAGAGTCAGCAGTGGGGTTTATTTTATGTGTATCTATTACATCTCATCAACCCCCCCCCCCCCTTTCCCCTACCTTCTTGTACGGACCTCCCTCAATGTACGAGGATTTTAAGCACTGTTCCTACCTGTAAAGTGTGCACCTCCCGGCCATGATGAGTGGTATACTCTTGACAGCCTTTGACGGTCAAAACCGGTTCCCATTTAGTTACGCCGCCCAAAAATGTTTCCACCTGGTTAAACTATGCCACCTCTTTTAGGTATAATAAATGTTTTGTCAAGTTATGCCCGTGTCCCACTAGAGCGACAGACAGAGACAAAAGACAGCGACAAGCCTCAAACCCATGCAGCATGCTCGCGATGGTACCTTTGGCAGGCTTTTAGTCGTTCGGTGCTCGTGAAGTAAGCACGAGCGATTGCAAGTTTGCCAAAGATACTTTCGCGTGCATGATGCTCGTGTTGGAGCATAGCCTCCTTCATTCTACAAAGCCTCTCAAATCGCGAAAGACTGGTTTGAGGCTTGTCGCTGTCGTTTGTTTCTGTCTGTCGCTCTAGTGGGACACGGGCATTATGGTTGCCAAAGAACCTGTGTGCCGAAAATCAGCACCTCGCACAACCAGATTACTTCACAACAGCTGACCGCAAAAGCCTTTGACAGTCAAATCGTGTGTTGACCGGCAACTTGGTTTTCTCGGCTTTGAAGCCACCTTTCGTAAAGTTGTTTCCATTGGAAGTACAGTGCACTTAGTCCCTTCCTACCTGTAAAGTCCTCATCTCCCACGACGCATGGTATTCTCTTGAGAGCCCTTTCACGGTCAAAACCGTTTCCCCTTCAGTTACGCCGCCCAAACCAAATGTCCACCTGGTTTCCCTAGGCCACCTATTTTTGGTATTATAACTGTTTTGTCAAGTTACGGTCATGTCCAAGAACCTGTGTGTCCAAATCTGCACTTCGCACAGCCCGGTTATAACACAGTATTTTGGGTCCAATATTGGATATTCCTGACAGCTTTATTCCTTTATTCGTTCGAACCATAACTTTCACACTTACTATCTTAAAAAAACTTGGCCCACTTAGCGCACAAACATAGCGAACACCTCACTCGCCTCCAAATATCATCGTCCCAGCAGTCCTACATTTACAGCGACGAGCGAAACAAATTTCCCACTGAGAGCGGTTATGGTGGCGGCCGTCTTGCTTTTCGGAAAATTGCTCAAACCCCTTTTTCGACCGCAACTAAAGAAATTACCCCTAAAAACGACTCAAACTCAATATATAAGAAGCGGAGAACAGCTAAATGCCCTTCTTCAATCTGCCCCAGCACTCATGTAACGTTACCCTCAACTTATCGGCTCAAAAAGCAAAAGTTCCGTCCGTGCGCGCTTCCGCCGCCACAGCTTCGCACGCGAAAAGGCGCCGCAGGCTGCTGAGCGCGCCTCACTGTCGAACGCCGGCTCCTCCGCCAGCGGCGCTGCGCGCGTTTTTCAAAGCGCCCCCTATAGTTCCCGCACGGAGTGTATACTACAAATATGGATTTACGGCGTGTCTAACCACCGTGACGAAGCAAGAAATAACATTATTTTATTTTTGGTCGATCCAAACATTTAGGGAAGCAGAGGGAAACGAATATACTACAAATATGGATTTACGGCGTGTCTAACCACTGTGACGAAGCAAGAAATAACATTATTTTATTTTTGGTTGATCCTAACATCTAGGGAAGCAGAGGGAGATGCTAGAAATATGGATTTACGGCGTGTCTAACCACCGTGACGAAGCAAGAAATAACATTATTTTATTTTTGGTCGATCCAAACATTTAGGGAAGCAGAGGGAAACGAATATACTACAAATATGGATTTACGGCGTGTCTAACCACTGTGACGAAGCAAGAAATA